TGCCACTGCACTCCAGCCTGAGCGACAGAGTGAGACTCCAACTCAAAAAAAAAAAATGCTGTATTCAGCCCTGTTGTTAGGGTTCAGCTTAAACTTTAAATTTGCTGAGCATGACAAGCAGGCAGAGCTCATTGGCGCTGCAGTTCAGTGATTCTAAAAACCTTTGAGTGAGAAATTTTTCCTTCCCATCCAAAGCTGAGGAGGAAAACAATCTCTGAGGATGACTGCACACATGGAAAATCATAAAATAAATTAACCCAGGATGACTGGGGGAACTTCCTTGTCATCTCCTATTCTGTTCTCACACCATATTTTCTATAAGAAAGATGGTTTTAAATTCTTTGAAAAAAAAACAAAACACTTGGATATGTTCATGTCCATCTTTATTAAGTAATGTCAAATTATCTTCCAAAGCATTGTACCAATTTCGGTTCCCACCACTGGTATCTGAGTGTGTTTAATATTCCACATTCTGCGCATGGTGGCTCATGCCTGTAACCCTAGCACTTTGGGTGGCTAACATGGAAGGACCGGTTGAGGCCAGGAATTTGAAACCTGCAACATAGTGAGATCATCCCTACAAAAATAAATTAACCAGGTGTTGTGGTGGTTCATGACTACAGTCCCAGCTACTCAGGAGGCTGAGTTGGGAGGACGACTTGAGCCCAGGAGTTCAAGGCTGCAGTGAGCTATAATCATGTCACTGCACTCCAGTCTGGACAACAGAGCAAGATGACTTTATCACTAAAAAAATAATAAATTTTTAAAAATGTTCCACATTCCCTCCAGTCTTTGTATTTAGCACCCTCCAAAATTATTAGGTTTTTAAAAAATTTGCTCCAAGGTCCATTGTAAAGTTTATCAGGTTGTGACACATTCCTTCTTTAAAAAACTCCAATCAGAGTCATAATAAATGCAAACCCCTCTGGCCCTCCCAGCCTCCCGGCTTCCCTTCTGACAGCCTCCCGGCTCCCTGCCTCACTGGCCTTTAACTGTGCTTCCAATAGGCCAGGCTGGTTTCTTCTCAAAGCCTTTGCACCCCTTATATTTCCTCTCCTGGCTCCTTGAAATTTGCCTGTCATAGTACTTGGTAACTGCCCGTGTCTTTGTATTTGCCACTAGACCATACGCTCCGTGAGGACAGGACTGGGTGCATCCTGTTCCACGCTGCCTCCCTGGCCTAGCGTATCCCCTGAGTATCTGTTGAATGAATACACGAATCCTTCCAGCCCGGTGGCCCAGGAATACTGGCCTGCTTCCCTCAGCTGGCAGCAGAGGCAGGGGCTGATGTCCAAGTGTGCACCCTCCTTCCAATCTCTTTTTTTTTTTTGAGTTGGTATCTCATTGTCACCCAGGCTGGAGTGCAGTGGCACAATTATGGCTTCCTGCAACCTCCTGGGTTCAGGCGACTCTTCCTCCTCAGTCCCCAGAGTAGCTGGGACTAAAGTCGTGTGCCACCACCCCCAGCTGTTTTTTATTTTTCAGTTAGAGTCTGACTCTGTTGCCCAGCCTGGAGTGCACTGGCACACTCACAGTCACTGCAGCCTTGACCTGCTGGGCTCAGGTGTTCCTTACACCTCAGCCTTCCAAGTAGCTGAAAGTACAAGCGCGTGCTACCACGCCTGGCTTATTTTTTGATTTATTATAGAGACGACGTCTCACCAAGTTGCCCAGGCTGGTCTCAAATCCCTGAGCTCAGTCAGTCCTCTTGCCTTGGCCTCTCAAAGTGCTGGGATTACAGGCTTGAGCCACCACACTCAGCCTCCAGCTATTTTATTTTATTTTTTGAGTTGGAATCTCACTCTGTCGCCCAGACTGGAGTGCAGTGGCCGCTCCTGGCCACCGCAGCCTCGACCTGCTGGGCTCTGGCAATCCTTCAGCCTCAGCCTTCCAAGTAGCTGGAACTACAGGCGCGCGCTACCACACTCGGCTAATTTTTTATTTATTGTAGAGATGAGGTCTTGCCAAGTTGCCCAGGCAGGACTTGAGCCCGTGGGCTCAGACAATCTACTCACCTCAGCCTCCCAAAGGCGCGGGATTATGGGCTGAACCACCGAGCCCAGCTTATTTTTTTTTTTTTTTGAGTTGGAGTCTCACTCTGTCACCCAGACTAGAGTGCAGTGGCATGCTCCCGGCCACCGCAGCCTTGACATGCTGGGGTCCGGCAATCCTTCGGTCTCAGCCTTCCGAGTAGCCGGAATTACAGGCATGCGCTACCACGCCCGGCTGATTTTTTATTTATTGTAGAGATGAGGTCTCGCTGCCCAGGCGGGTCTTGAACCCGCGGGCTCAGGCAATCCACTCACCTCAGCCTCCCAAAGGCACGGGATTACAGGCTGAGCCACCAAGCCCGGCTTTTTTTTGTTTTTTTTGAGTTGGAGTCTCACTCTGTCACTCAGGCTGGAGTGCAGTGACACGCTCATGGCCATCCCAGCATTGACCTGCTGGGCTCCAGCAATCCTTCCTCCTCAGCCTTCCAAGTAGCTGGAACTACAA